GAATTGAATGCTTTTAAAAGTCCTGAAGGAAATTTTTCCATTAGGAGCTAAAAGCCTTCCTTAAAAATTAATATACTCCTAATCTCATTAACTTCTGATTAGTCTTGCCTTTTTTCAATGCTAATTTGATTGCTAGTGTTGCCTACCAGTTTGGATCTTGAATGTTCCCAGAGGCCCATGTGTTAAGGGCTTGGTCCCAAGGATGGTGCTTTTGAGAGATGGTGGCATACTCTTAAAATGTGGGGCCTAGTGAGAAGTTGCTGGGTCATTATAGGTCTGTCCTTGAAAGGATTTCAGCAACCAGTTCCACTCTCTCTCTTTGTTTCCTGGCCATGAGGGGAGCAGTTTTGCTCTGCTACTGGCTCCTGGCTCGAAGTGTTGCCTTTCCATAAGCCAAAAAGTCGTATCAATCAGTCAAGGACAGCAACCTCCAAAACTGTGACCCAAGAAACATTTTCCCTTTATGAGTCAATAATTTCAGATACTTTGCTACAGAGACAACTGACAAGCCTGTTCCCCCGCATAAGAAAGCATATAAAACCACATACACATACGGCCAATAGTTAGATTAATAGTTACACAACCCTAACCATTTTAAAAAAAATAAGATTTATTACAAGCCCATCAAATTTTTTCTTTTTATTTATTTTTTGTCTTTTTGAGACAGGGTCTCCTTGGAGCCCCAGCTGTCCTGGAACTCACTATGTAGACCAGGCTGGCCTCAAACTCACAAAGATCCACCTGCCTCTGTCTCCCAAGTGCTGGGATTAAAGGTGTGCCACCACCATGCCCAGCTTCAAATTTTTTCTTTTAAATGAATATGTAATTCCAGGCTAATGGCAAAACACATACTCAGATGCTTCTAATTAGGATATTATTTTGCTTCCATCCTAATTCATTTTCTATTTCTTTAAAATATAAAATACAGATTTTTCTATTAATAAAGAATTCCAGACTACTGAAAATTTAAAATCAAAGAGCTGTGTAATTTTGAATGCTTTTTTCTTTAAAACTGGATGCCAATAAGTAGAGACCAAAAATAGAACCCTCATTGTGACTGTGTTAGCTCCCAAAGCTTGTTTGCAGGTCGCTTAATTGGAACTTGGAATACAGTCTTCCATTGAAACAATGTGACAAATGATGTTTCTTTTCCCAGGCCTTCCCAACAGCTCAGAAGTAATTTAGATGCTTTAACACAAACAGACAGGAAAAGCACTCAAGCAAAAGATAGGAAATATATGTCCTAATCTTGTACATTTCTTAAATCTCCCCATATTTGTGTGTAAGTGTTCTAAACTTACTGTGTTCCCTAAAATGTCTCCCAAGAAAGCAGCATTAAATTAACCTGCATTTCCCTCTGCTGGGTAAACCACACTACCTCCTCTAAAATAACTATTTGCTGTTGAGCTTATATTTTGATTTGCATTTATTTTTTTTAAGAGTTTGGGGGCCAGAGATGAAATGCTTGCATACATCTATGCAATGACCTGGGTTCAATTTTCAGCACCACATTAAAAAGAGAAGAGTTCTGGTTATAGCTTAGTATAGCAGATTTGCACTTATATCCCTGAACTGTGCTGGGATATGAGGGGTCTGTACATGTACACAATATATACCTACTCTTGGACATGCACTAGTCTAGGTACAAAGAAAGCACTAAAACACCTTGTAAGGAAGACAAGTATCAAATAAAACTGCAAGAATGGCAAATGAATCAGAAGCTATAAAAGCCTTTAAGGAACGGACTAGGAACAGGGGAAGTGACTTGGTCAAGACGGCAGGATGGGCTCAAGCAGAGCTAAGGGCTGAAATGAAGAAGGCCAGAAGAGTCAAATCTTAGAGAACAGAGTTGGGAGTAGTCTTTATCCTGGTGTCAATGGGGAAATCCTGATTAAGCAAGTAGATGGGTGGTGTGTCCAGATTGAGGTTTAGAAGATAAGCACGTGAGGTTAGTATTATCACCTAAAGAAGTTGAAACTTCTAGTCACCTGAACCAGTGCAGTCTGTGAGGCAGGTGGCAGGTAACCAGGTCCCTAAACTCCAAGTCTACAGAGGGCACCCTCAGCCTTCTTCCCACACCCACCCCACTCCCCACCTCCCCACCCTCATGGACCAAACCCTTGTGGAAGACAGGAAGTTTCTCTACCCTCATTCCTCATTTCCCATCCCACTGCTGTACCCACCATATCACTCCATTAATTCTCAATGGAAGAGGGGAGGAGACAAGAATTGCTAGCAGGGGTGTGGGGATAGCTTAGGGTGGGAACAAAGAAAAGAAATTGGAGCAATATAAAACCAATGCCCTGTGAGGCACAGGCTTATAATCCCAGCTACTCAGGAACTGAAACAGGAGGATCACATGTTCAAGGCCAGCCTGGATAACTTAATGAAGTCCTGTCTCAATGTAAAAAAGTAAAAAGAGTGCTGGGGATGTAGCTCAGCAGTACAGCACTTGCCTAGCATGCATGAGGCCCTCTACGTTCAATCCTAAGTACCATAAATAAATAAATAATAAATAAATAAACAAATAGTCTAATTAAAACAATACAGAGAGGTACAAATCAGATATTTTGAGTGACTCTACAGTGGAATGAATAAATCAAAACAACCTGGCTTCTCTTCTAGAGGCAAGGCAATGTCCTCAGAGAAGCCCCTCTGGCTGTCTAGCACAGAGTTTCCTGAGGTCCTGGCTTCTGTCGGGCTGCCCACGGAAGCAGCAGAACCTCTTCCTGCTCTTGCCTAATGCCCATGTACACACAATCCTAAAACAAGAAACACCTACCCAAACAACTTACAAGCAGAAGGCAGTGTGTAGTTGCTGATTACTCTAAACTTTGTATCATCCAAATACTTCCAAGGACTTTTTTACTGTTCAGTCCTCAAAGGAATGAAGTATGTATCAGTTAAATCAGAATATGAGCCTTCACTACAGGAAATCCAAAATCTTGTGAGGTTAGGTAAATTTTCTTTTTGTTTCTTTTCCCTAGTTAAACTATGTCTCACAGACTAGGTATTTCCTAGAATGACCCAACAGAACTTGGTTTTTTTCCTTCTTTTTTGACATTTAGTTATTTGATTTCTTAAAAGTCTTAGTGAAGGGGAGTTGGAGAGATCACTCAGCGGTTAAGAACACTGGCTGTTCTTGTTTAAGATCCCAGATTGGTTTCTAGCACCCACATGGCAGCCAGCAATCACCCTGAACTCTAGTTTCAGGAGATCTGACACCCTCTTCTGGCTTCCACAGGCATTGTGTGACAGGAGTGCACTTATATGCAGGTGAAACATTCATACACATAAAATAAAATAAAAATAAATTTCAGAAAATTCTCAGCATGGCTGAGTGCAGCTTAGTGGTAGAGCATTTACCTAGCATATGTGAAGCCCTGAGTCTGAACCTCACCAATAGGCCCCCAAAGGAGGGGAGGGCTAGCCAAACAAGGTATCTATAATTCACAACCAAATTCAGATTTGGCCCTAACATTAGGCTACAAAAAAAGTGGTCTCACAAGTGAGGCATCCTTTCATTCCCACCTCACTGCTTTAGGGTTTTAGTGACAGTATTGACTATTTTTTGTTTAAAAGTTTCTCAGTACATTCACACCTTCCAGCAGCCCCACTGCCCCTTTGCCACCAGCGCTACATCTCCTGCTGCACTCAGCTCCTGCTCCACTGCCAGTTCCTGCAGCTGTAAACAATGCAAGCGCAGCTCCTGCATGATGAGCTGTTGCCCAGTCAGCTGCTCCAAGTGCCCAGGGCTGTGTCTGCAAAGGGGCAGCTGACACATACACCCATTGTGCCTGAACTGGGAACAGTGCTGTTCCCATGTGTAAATAGGGTGGTATGTAACAGCCCGGACTTGTTTCATACAACTCTAGCCCTTTTACATTCCCTTTTTCTATAAAGTATGTGAATAATAAAAGTCTATGACTTAAAAAAAAAAAAAGGTTCTTGGTATGATATCATTGGCTGGTCCCATTTTTTACTATTTATATATTAATTTTCCAAATTTTTAATAGATTTCTACCAAGTTTGATATGCAATATTAAGTTGGTACAAGTTGAGTTCCTAATCCAAAAATCTGAAATCCAAAAAGCTCCAAAGGTTTTTGAGGGCCAATACAACGCCATAAATGAAAATTTAAACACCTGACTTCATCTGGTAAGTTACAGTCAAGACACAGAGGCACTAAAAATTATTGATAAAATTACCTTCAGGATATGCAAATAAGGTATACATGAAAAATTAATGAATTCCGTTTAGACTTGGATATCATCCTAAAATAATTTCATCATGTACATGTGACTATCCCATAATCCAAAGCAGTCCAAAATGCCTCACACTTCTGGTCAAGTATTTTGAGCAAGGGATACTCAACTTCCACAGCAATGAAGAATTTTTAAAGAAACTAGCATAAAAAGAACTCCACAACAAGAAACCCAGTTTACTCTCTCCCAGAGGTCTGTGAATCCCTTTCCCACCTGCTCACTGCTCACTGCTTCTGAAGGGCTCCTCCATACACTGAGCAAACCTTCAGAAAGACCAGCAGACCACCTTGTGAGTGTGGCTTTTGAAAAATTATTAACATAATATTTTTCAAAATTATTCCTTACGGGGCTGGAGAGATAGCTCAGCAGTTAAGAGCATTGACTGCTCTTGCAGAGGACCTGGGTTCAATTCCCAGAACCAACATGGAGGCTATGAACCGTCCTTCATTCCCGTTCCAGGGGACTCGGAAGCCCACTTCTGACCTCCACAGCACTCAGATACATGCAGGCAATACACTCATACACATAAAATAAAAATAATAAAATAGTTTTAAAAAATTATTCCTTAATTAGGCTTCCATGATTTAAATGAGAAATTTCCCCACATGGTCCTACTATATTACCTAAGACTATCAGAAGCTCCAAACAAGTGGGCTAAAAAGTGTTTAATATCCTTTAAATATAAGTTAGAACACTTCACAGTAAAAATAGTTACTTTTTTAAGAAAATGAGCACCTTTTTGTTGGTGATGGGAATGGATAGGAAATAGTTGGGTTGATAATCATTTTGCCTTTTTTTCCTCTTCTTTACTTGATCCCTCTTGTTACCTTCATTTTCTTTACTTCTCTTCAAATTTATTTGAGGTACATCAGTGACTAGACGGGAAAAAAGCATAGTAAGAACATGTCAAACATTTAAACAAAGATAGTATAATCAAAACAAAAAGAAATCAGGTAATATATAAAGAACAATCATTTATAACTATCATTTTCAAACGCTTTCAAAAAGTGTTCTATGGCCATTCCACCCTGAATGCACCGATCTCATCAAAAAGTGTTCTGCAAACACTTTATGTCCATAAAGAACACATAATATAAACATTGCAGGCTTTACAGATCATATGGTCTGTGTTGCAGCTACCTAACTCTGACAAAATATAAATGAAGGCATATAGTTATGTTCCAATAAACTTTATTTACAAAGCAGGGGTTTGGACAGGTTTTGTGCCTTAGGGAACAACTAACAAGCATTTTCTCCCAAATGCCACAGGTTTTCTTTTTAATTTTGATTTTTGTTTTGGTTTTGTTTGTTTCTTTGTTTGTTTGTTTGAGACTGTGAAAACTCTCAGAAAACTTTTTAAATTTTTTTTAAATTTTATTTGTATGAATGTATTGCTTGCATGTAAGTAGGTGTATCCGTGTTGTGCAATGCCCACGTCATATCCCCTGGAACTGGAGTTACTGATGATTGTTAGCCACCATGTGGATGCTAGAAATTGAACCCAGGTCCTCTGCAAGAGCAGCCAGTGCTCTTAACCCCTGAGCCCAGTGATTTCTCCAGCCCAGAAAACTTCTTAAGAAAAATATGGGATTTGTCTAAATCTCTTTAATTTTGTAATCTTATCAATAAATATTTAGCTATCCTTTGAACCTAAAGTTTTCTATTTTTATTATTTTTATTTTATGTGTATGAGTGTATTGCCTGCATGTATACTCATGCACCCATATTGTGCAACGCCCACAGAGTCAGAAGGGGGAATCGGATCCCCTGGAACTGGATTTACCAATGGTTGTTAGCCACCATGTGGGTGCTGGGAACTGAACCTTGGTCTTCTGCAAGAGCAGCCAGTGTACTTAACCACTGACCCATCTCTCCAGCCCCAAGTTTTCTATTTTTTTTAAAGATTTGTTTTTGTTTTAATTGTGTGTATGTACATATATCTATATATGAGTGTAGTGCACACAGAGGCCAGAGAGGGTATGAGATCCCCCAGAACTGGAGTTACAAGCAGTTTTGAGCCACCCCATGTAGATGCTGGAAACTGAACTTGGATCCTCTGCAACAGCAGCACATGCTTTTAACTGTTGAACCATCTCTCCAAAACCTCAAGTTTTCTTTTGTTAGGCATACAGACAACACAAAGTAAACTGACAGGGGAAGGTGGAGAGGACCTTGCTATGGTACAATTTCATCAACCTTTGTAGTGTGTCTTCTTTTTCGTCATAATTCATTGACTCCTGTTGACACAGTCAACCTGTTACACACTAGGTCCACTATCACGTTTTCTCTTATTTGCAATCTTTTTCTTGTTTGTAGTATTTATCTGCATGACCACAATGTAAAATCTCTCTGCTTTTACTTACTGAACTTCATTTTATTTCCAACTCTGTGATCACTATCTATCATCTTCTAAAGGATAATTTGCTGCGATTCTATTAACTTACTTTCACACGGAAATGTAAAAGGAAAAAAATATTCATGTAATCATCTAGCTTACTGATAAAAATATGAAAGACTGGTGACTGCAGGAACAAAATGCAGAAAACTTTAGCCATGTGCCCTGGATCTTTCATTTGATTATTTACAGTAACTTTATTGGTTAACACAAAGTCATCTGTGGAAGTACAGCCTGTAAACTCGGATGCCTAATTTATTACACTTGTTAATTTGCATAATGACTTCATGTGCACTGATGAACCTGGTGTTGTTGACAAAGGCTGTTACTTTCTGATCCATGCATTTGCCTTTTTTTTTTTTTTTGTCTTTTTGAAGCAGGGTCTCCCTGTAATCCCAGCTGTCCTGGAACTCACTACGTAGACCAGGCTGGCCTTGAACTCACAGAGATCTGCCTGCGTCTGCCTCCCAAGTGCTGGGACTACAGGCATGCACCACCACGCCCGGCTAACATCCCACATGTCATCTTATGTAAATTATCTAATTTTTCCTTAATTCCATTTATTCCCTCAAAAACTACAAAGGAGTGAGTTATGGGAGAAATTAATTTAATTAATTACTCCGTTATTGTGGGTTGATTGTTGTCAAACTTGCTCTTAATTAAAAGGCTGAGAATGAATTAAGCTTTGTTTTGATATTTCTTTTCTTATTATTCAAGCAGCTACAAATCTTTGAAGTAGGCGGGGTATGGCTATGCATACCTATAATCATAGCACTTGGAAGACTGAGGAAGGAGGGCTATTGTGAGTTCAAGGCCAGCCTGAGCTACATATAGACCCTATCTCAAAAAAAAAAAACTTAACAATATCACCCACTGACATCACTCTATCTTGACAAAGAAACACAAAATCACCAAGAAGGCAATTCTCAGAATATATCCCTGCCATTATTCATGACACATGACTGTATGTGGTATTTGCCTCTCCAAATAATTATATAAAAGACAAAGAACATAATTTATCTCTTTTTAAATTGACACAGAATAAATCACTATACCAGATAGGTACTCTGATGCAATTTTTTCTATACAAAAATTTTGGATGAAGTTTTGATTGGTATTTTAAAATATTTAAGTATTTTAAAACATATAACAACTAGTTAATACGTAACAAAATGTTAATTTCCTATATCTCAAAGATTTCAAATTATTATACTATTAGAATTCTTGCATGAGGAAGCCCGGCATGGTGGTACATGCCTGTAATGCCAGTGCAGGAAAACCAAAAGTTCAAAGTCAGCCTTGGCTACAGAGTGATTTCAAGGCCACCCTGAGCTCCATGAGACTTTGTCTCAAACACACACATACACACACACACACACACACACACACAGAATTTTGAGTGAGGTAAAATAAGGATTAATCATTTCCTTTTATACGTTTTTAATTTTTATTTTTATTTTATGCATATGCATATATTATCTGCATGTATATAAGTGTACCCGTGTCATGCAGTGCCTACAGAGGATAGAAGAGGGCATCAGATCCCCTGGAATTAGAGTTACAGATAGTGGGTGCTGGTTCAAACCCAGGTCCTCTGCAAGAGCAGCCAGTGCTCTTAACCACTGAGTCATCTCTCCAGCCCTGAATTAATCATTTCTATAGAACTGATTTTCACAAGTAGGAAAGTCATGTGATTTAAAAACAACTCAATCTCAATATGATTTAAGTATAGCTTGAAGGCTACATTTAGTGATATGGCTCAGCAGGTAAAGACATTTGCCAGCTAGCCTGACAACCTGAGTTCAATCCCCAGGATCCAGTGGTAGAAAGAGAAAAATGACTCACTCCAAGTGTACACATGCATATCATGGTATGCAGGTGCCCACGCACATGCATATAACTACATAAACACACACAAATAAATAAATGCAAATTTTTAAGTGTGCCTTGGAAGTTCAGAATTAAGACCCTCAAGTGACTAGAGTCAGTGAAACAAGCTCCCCTTGTCTCCCCTGAGGGAAGTAGACAGGGCTATTCCCATCAACAGACTCCCTCTCCACTGTCAGAGGCAGACAGGAAGAGCAAACGTTTTCTAGATGTCTCCTGGGCTTCTAACCAACTGAGCCACAGTGTTCTTTCCTTACAGAGAGAAAAATCCCACCCAGGTCTGGTTCCATTCCTTGCTCAGGCTTCAGATTTCTCCTGGAGCATACCCAACCAATAGCCAAAGGTGTGGCCCAGGCTGCTCTATCTCACCATTTCTCACAGATTTTCTTTCACACATCTATTTATTTCTTATCCATCTCTATATTCTAATATATAATTCTACATTTATTTTATGTTCTTGTATTTTAATAATATTCTAATACATTTAATCTTATATATTTTTAGCACAATGTCTTCTTACATAAAAATATACACAAAAAAATGTCAAGTCCCATTTCAGCCAACCAGGCCCAGTGAAAGATGACCCACATGGAGAGACACCAAGCTCAACATGTCAGGAGTGGTTTGCTCTGGCAAGGATCACGATGTTCTTATTAGCACTGTTCCCCTTGCTGTTCTGCCACTGTTGGCAAGAATCTCCTGGCAGTCAGCCCTCAATTCCCACACACCCAAGAAAACGAAAGGACCCACCCCAAACAACCGGCCACCTGCCTTAAAATTCCAGAATTTTTCTGCTTATTCCTTAGTTCCAAAAAAATGCTATTATGAAAAATAAGAGAATAAGCTGGAGTCAAATAACTAACAGTTATGTTTCAAAGGTTTTATGGGAGCTAGAGATGGTTCAGTGGTTAAAAGGTTTGCTGCAAAAGCATAGGGTCCTACACTGAACCTCGAGCTCTTCCATCAAAGCCAGGTACAGCAGGATGTGCCTACAATCCAAGGCTGGGAGGCAGAGACAAGTGGGTACCTGGGGTTCCCTGGCCAGTCAATCTAGTTGAGTCAGTGAGCTCCAAGGTCAGTGACTTTCTCAAAAACTGAGGTACAGAGGGTTGAAGAGATGGCTCACCAGTTAAAAGCACTTGCTGTTCTTATAGAGGACCTGGGTTCAATTCCCAGCACCCACATGATAGCTTACAACCATCTTTAAATTTAGTTCCACTATATCTGAGATTCTCTCCTAGCCTTCACAAGAACTAAGAACACTATCACGCATATACATACATACATGCAGGCAAAACACTCATACACATAAAATAAAAATAAATAAATCTTTTTTAAAAAATTAAGGTGGAAAGGGATTACGGAAGACACTTAGTTGATCAACCTCTGACTTCCACATGCACACATGTATCAGGCACATTCATATACACACAAAGAAAAAGAAGGGTTTTTTTTAAAGTAACTTTCATACACTGTATGTTCATTCATACACTATATGTCTGCTATGTTTTTAACTCCTTTCTTGCACACATTTTCTCTTTTGATCGGTACAACATTTTGAGGTAAGCAAGAAGATATTACAGCTCACCTTTTACAGTTGAAGAATCCCAGTTCGCAGTTTAAATGACCAAAGTAACACAAGAATCAATAGTCAAAACTGAAAATATACTTTCGTCTCTCCCATTATACACATGGCCCATGCATAAATTGGAGCTTAGAACCTGAAATTCATCTTCTCACAGAAGAAATCATATACTCAGTGGTTTAGAATATAGGCTAACCACAAATAGCTTAAAACTCCTAAAACTTAAACTCTCAAAAAGTGACATAATACTCCAGTTAAATAGAGTTCAGTAGGCTAGCCTGAACCCCATTATATAAGGATAACATCAGTGTTTTGATAAGAACTATACCAAATTCTACCCCCAAAATAATTCCTATTTGCATAAAGGACCATCCTTCCCAAGGGCCATCGTGGGCAGAAGTAGTGGTCCTTTTCAAAGCATAGACAGAACACAGGCCACAAATGCATCCCCTTCCTTCTTACTGCCAGGAAGGGTAGGTGACACACACCACAGCAAGTGAAGCCTGATTGATATGGAGGACTCTGCTGTGGGGTTCTTTGGTTTGGTGCGGTATGGTATGGTATGTGGTGTGGTATGGTGTGGTGTGGTTTTTGAGACAGAGTCTTGCTATGTAACCCTAGCTCTCCTGGAACTTATTATGTTGATCAGGAATTAGACTGTAACGAATTCAGAAAGAAAAGACTGACTTTAAAAGTATACTCATTTTACTTGCTCCAGAAGTAGAAAATTAACAAAGCATAGTGCTATACACCTAATATCCCAGAACATAGCAAACTGAGGCAGGAGGATCCCAAGTACGAGGTCAGTCTGAACTACACAAAACAAACAACATCAACAACAACAAGGGGGAAATATTAAATCTTTGTTCTTTCATTTTTCCACAGCGTCCCCCCTTCTACTTAACAAGAATTTTTTTTTCAGATGGAAAGATTTCTCTAATAGCCATGAATCTCAAAAAAAGCATGCTCTGGCTGACCAGACCTGCCTCACACTTCCTTTACCCCTGATGATAAAGGGATGGAAAGACTCAATGAGTATCAGAGATTTTATACATTTCAAGGGTTCCTCTCTCCTCACATGTAACTAAAATAGAAACTAAGATCACTGAATAGAAAACAGTGTGATAAAAAAAAAAAAAAAACCTGTGACTCGCTAAGCATCAGAATCACAAGGTATGAGGGAAGGGGGGGGGGGGGAGAATGATTCTCTGCCCTGGACCGAGATAGAAAAGAATCTGAACTTGTACATCACCCTACCAGAAAATTCCAATTTCAAGTCAAGTTCAAGAACACTTTGGATAGAAGAACAAGCCCTAGAGTTCATACATGACCTCCAAACCTCTATTCTTACCATACATCAAGGGAGATCCCCTGTTATCACACACTCTACCTCTACGTATGCCTACCATCCAGCACTCATCTAATGAGATCATAGCTGTGAACATACTGGCTCCACAGTGAATCTGTCATGTGTGTCAATACCTAGAGTGTCTAGTGCCTTTCTTAGCATTTGCCAAACATCCAGTAAATATTTATCAAGGAAGATGGTAAATAATCTCAAGTTACAGATTTTTAGTTTCCAAATGTGTTAATTTAGTTTATTTACTTAGCTTCTATACATCTGAGTTTTCTCTCAAAATGAAGATACTGTGCTAAATAATTCCTCATGTAGCCTTCAGGCATCTAATTCTGTCATTTTAAAACCCACGGTAGTTCCCTTATATTAGTTACTTGTCGTATTGCTGAGACAAAATACCTGAGAAAAGCAGTTTAATGGAGGAGTTACTTTGGTTTACAGAACCAGGAGGCATCTGGTCACATGGCACCCACAGCTGGGAAGCGATAAAAATCCAGCTCCTTTTTATTCAGTCTGAGACTCAATCCTATGAAAAGGCAGTACCCATTTTAGGGCAGCCTTCCCACTTCAATTAACCTAATCTAAATAATACCTTACAGACATGCCCAGAGATTTGTTTCCATGGTGATTCTAAATCCCATCAAGTTGACAATCAAGATTATCCATCCTACTCCCCTTATTGGAAGGGGATCTAGTCTAAGGGCCCCAGTGGACACCTGAAACCACAAACTCTGCATTTTCTAGGTTTATATACACACAGACTTATGATAAAGTTTGCTTTATAATTTAGGCACAGTAATGGCACAGCAGCACTAAAGGCCCTTTAAGGAAAAACTAATTTCTTCTGGTCAAGAGGATGAAATCTCTGACCTGAGTAGAGACCTAACATTACAACTGGGCTGGCCAAGAGACCACCCCCCAGGAAGGTGGGCCCACTCCTAGGAAGGCAGGGTCACTTCAAGTCATGCTAAAGTGATAGGAGGAATCAATGAGATAATGTACTTTTCCTTCCCAGAATCCCCACCTCATTAGTGCATGAGCTTACAGGGCCACAGCCACAGGGCCTGGGATCTCCTCCCACTTTTCTAAATTATTCAGAAAAGGGTTGGAGAGATGGCTCAGTGGTTAAGAGCACTGGCTGCTCTTGCAGAGGACTGAAGTTCAAGTCCTAGCACTCACATGGCAACTAACAACCATTCATAACTCCAGTTCCACAGTATCCAACACCTTCTTCTGAACTCTGTGGGCATTATATGACACAGGTGAACTTACACACGTGCAGGCAATACACTCATACACAAAAAAATAAAATAAAATACTAAATTTTTCAGAAAAGTATAACTTTTCCTTTTCTATCTTTGTTCTAAGCATTCTAACATTTGGGCCTCCTTAGTCTTTCTCCAAAGCTCCCCTCCCTGCCACGTGGTTGCCTGTCCACAACTGTGGCTGACCTCAATTCCAGTTTATCTTAAATGAGAGGGCTTTTTTCCTATTCTTCATTCTCCTCCTCTGGGAAACTGCTAAGGTTTATAGCTTGCTTGTCCTGGGGTTTTCTTTAAAATTTTAATAAAATTTGGGCTGGATAGATGGCTCAGTGGTTAAGAGCACTAGCTATTCTTCGAAAGGATCTGGGTTCAGATCCCATGGTAGCTGACAGCTCTGTAACTCTAGTTCCAGAGGATCTGATGCCTTCTTCTGGCTTCCATGGGCACTGCATGACATGGGTGCACTTACAAACATGCAGGCAAAACACTCATACATATAAACTAAAAATAAATAAAAGTTTTAAATTCAAATAAAATTAACCTCAAGCTTCTATTTAAGTCATTCTTAAATTCTTTTATTAGTTAGACAAAGCACTCCAAGAAGGGACCCCATTTTCCCCAGTAGCATCTAGAAATTAACAATAATAAAGAACAGAACAATAACTTGAGCCATTATAAAGTCAAACATGGATTCCCTGAACACAAGCACTATGATACCATGACAGTCTGTCAGATAATCAAGATGGCTACTAAGAAACTACTGGGCACCTATCAACTCATAGCAAGGCTTCATGTAAGGATTCAGACAATGATATGACTATGTTGAGCTGTTCCTCATCTGCCTATGGACAAGTCACCTGGGTAATAGGCAGATCTATCACCTTTTCAGAGGCAGTCCCAGTCATCATGTATAGAATTGTTCTTACAATGTCAAAAAATTTATATTTAGGTATTTACAGAGTTCCAACAGTATTTCAGTAACACATTGGTTCTATAAAGTAGGTAAATGAAGTTTAAAGTACTGAATTGATTGAATAAGTACATTTTTTAATAAAAGATTAACTATTTTCAGGTGTCTCACACCTTAACCCTGGCATTAAAAAAGCTGAGGTAGGAAGAATGCCTGGAGTTCAAGACCAGCCTGGGTTACACAGTGAAGCATTCCAGGCCTACAGATACCAAGAGGCTAGCAACCATTTATTAGATGAATAGATACTTTTGAAATTACGGTGGCTCTAAAGAATTGAAGTAGAGTATTATAAACCATGAAATGATCTGTCAGGCCCATTATTTTCAGAATTAACTATAAAATGATCTGGCCCAAAATTCTGTAAGCTATGTATTAATACTGTGAGTTTTGCCAACAAGCACCAACAGATACCGAAAACTATTAACCAAATCTCAAAGAAGTATGACAAGTACTTAAAGTAAAATAACTTAAGGATAAAATATATAACTAAATTTGCTATCCATTCCTTCTAAATGCACATGTACTTAATAAAGTACTTACCTCCACAATCATCTTGAATATCTACAGTAGCAAATGGCATGTCTGTCAGAGAATCCACAGCACTGACTTGTAACTTCTCTGGCACTTCCTCTTTTCTTAACACATGTTCACACTCATTGGAATTTATTTCTCCTATAACATGACACAAAAAGAAAACATTATTGAACTTGTTATTTGTTAAACTCATACCTTAAAACCAAAACAATGCATCAAACTGAATTCAACACTATTGATATCTGTGAAGAGAGGTATTACTTACTCAAACACATCATAAGGCTATTTCTATAAACATTAACATAGTCTATGGGGTTTTGTTTTGTTTTGTTTTGTTTTGGTCTTTTTGAGACAGGGTCTCCCTGTAGCCCCAGCTGTCCTGGAACTCACTATGTAGACCAGGCTAGCCTTGAACTCACAGAGATCCACCTGAGTGCTGGGATTAAAGGTGTGCATTAAACAATGAGCTTCTAGCAACCAAGCGCTCAACCCAAGTTCAGATGGAGGCAGAGTCAATCAATGATCCTCCATCTTTTACAGCTAAGTTTTCTTAATTCTAAAATTGTTTTTCACATATCTTTTAAAAACAAACCAATAGGTGTTGTCAGTCTTCTCATGTTTAGTGTCAAAAATATCAGGTATCTAGGGATTTTTTAGCTTTTCAATTGTACTGTTTTACTAGCATATGTTAATCATACATAATTACAGATGTTATTATGACATTTTCATACATGCACACAGTATATTTTGATCAAGTTCACACACATGCCCTTTACCCTCTCTCATCCCCCCTAGTTAAGTGTTCTAATTTGTATAAGCTCTGGCTTTTTTTTTTAACTCCTTAAAGACTTTTAAACTGTTCCTTGCCACCATTAAACTTAACATTGGAAATTTAGTTTAAAATACATGGCTCCAGGGGCCAACAAGATGGCTCAGCAGATAAAGGTTCTTGCCACTAAAGCCTGGAAATCTGAGTTACTTCTCTGGAACTCACAAAAGGTAAACAACACTACGTTGTTGTTCTCTGACCACCACACACAGGCTATGTCAGGCATACCCACCCTCTACATCACGCACACACACACACACACACACACACACACACACATTATTTCTTAATTACTTGGCTCTAAATATGCATTTTTTTGAAATTCAATTGTGAAAATCAAATAACCTCACAGTTCCTACAACAGCTTTCCCATGGCCATGCACCAACATTTCACATTTGGTCTTTGTCTTCTTGTTATAGGTGCAGCACCCATATGTCTTGGGTGAAGATTAAGAAAAGGAAGACTTAAGTTGATAAAGTTAATTGCTAAATTTATCTGTTGGTGGTCTCCCCAGTACCAATATTCTGCATGCCTCTGTAGCAGATGGACTAAGGTTGATCAAAATCCTGGAATACTTAGATAATTTTTGTCCAAGGAACTCAGTGAAAATTAATTTACAATATGAACTATTAAAGCATCCATTTCATTCTGTTGTAATCTTCTATTTTCAAATGTAATAACTGCAAAAACATTCCATTAAGAATATGGCTTACAAGGGACTGAGGATGTACTGGGGATGTAGTGCAGAAGTAGAGTGCTTGCCTCACATGCACAAGGCCCTGGATTTAATCCCTACCACCACAAAAATAAATAAATATGGTTTGCATACTGGAATTGCTAGTGCAGGCCTATAAACCTGATTACTGCAAGACTAAGGCAGGATGATCTCAAGCCCAAGTCTGCCTGAGTTACAGCAAGAGTTCAAGGCCAGCCTGGATACCCTGTCTCAAAATTTTTTTAAGTATTAAAAAAAAGAGAGAGGGTTTCGATTGTAAGTCAGTTATAGAGTGCTTTCCTAGCAATGTGTGAGGTCTGAGATTCAATTCCCAGTACTCCAAAAGAAAAAAATATAGTTTACACTAAAACAATAATTCTCAAGATAGTTCGTAGTTGACATGCATATTAAAAATGTAAATTTTCATCACAATTTGATTCATCTAAAACAATTAGTCATATATATCTCTTTTCTGGATAAGGGAAAAAGTAACAATACCTTTTAAAATCATGTTCAATGCCAAAAAGATACTAATAGTAGATTCTTTTGGTGGGGGGTGGGGTTTGAGACAGGGTCTCCCTCTAGTCCCACTGGCCTGGAACTCACTATGTAGACAAGGCTAGCCTCAATCTCACAGAGATCCACCTGCTTCTGCCTCCTGAGTACTGGGATTGAAGGTGTGTAGCACCACATCTGGTTTAATAGTACATTGTTAATAATACTATGTATACAGTTCAGACTTGAAGAAGTGTAAGTACCCAGCATCTATGTATACAATAAATTTTAGATCACTACAGGCATATTCATGAGCTCATACTATTTGCAAAACATGAGAATAAGTTAAACATGTTTATACTTGCATTTTAGAAACACAAAATACAGTTTGGGCTTAAACAAAACTTTAAACAAGCCGGACCTGGTGAAGCACGCTTTTAGTCACAGCACTTGGAAGACAGAAGCAGGAGGATCTCTGTGAAATTGAGGCCTGCCTGGTCTACATAGTGAGTTTAGGCAAGCTGGGGCTACAGGAAAACCCTGTCTCAAAAACAACAAAGCAAAAAGTTTAAACAGATCATTATGTATCTTGAATCTCTGAGCATAGTCAGCTATACATAAAGAACATCACCCACCAGGCAGCTTTCACTTGAAAAGTTTACACCAAAGGAATACTTGTAAGCCAGGCATGGGAGTGCATACTGTGATTCTAGCACTGGGGAATTTAACATAGGAGAATGCTGAGTTGAAAGAGAGTAAGAACTTACCTCAAAAAAAGTAAAACAAAATAATTTTTCAATAAGAGTACTAATGCTATTAAACATATTAAACATGAAGAATACTGCATAAAAATTAGAATGAAAGAAGTAAATAAACCCAATTGTTGTTTTCCTAATTTTTTTCTTCAATCTAAGCATTTAGTGATATAAAATAGTCCCAGAATACTAGCATCTCAATACTAGTTATCATCATGCTGGTTCCTAAGCCCATGTGCCACTTAGAAAACCCCTGACTTATAATGCTTGAAGTACAACTCTGCAACCTCCTATTGGTGCAAAAGTTGGTTTCATTCCTACCACTGTGATGGGAGGGAGGCTCTTAGAGCAGAGGAGGCCAGGTGCCCTGGGGCACTGTGGAACACAGTCAGAATCTTCTCTGTTCCTATTTCTTGTCACCACCTGTGCAGTCGAGCAGTGAGCATTCAGCAGAAAACAGCTCAAATTTTGAATGTTGGTCTCTTTCTAGGCCAGTGACAGGTAAACACAGCCCTCTCTTGTGATGGGCAGCTGCAGTAAGCCCCACTTGGCAGGCAGCCCCATGATCTTGAGATGGTGAGAACAAGTGATATTCTGCAGTGGACTGTGTTGCTAAGCTGTGGTGTTCAGCAGGCTAGGTGCATTAAATGCATTCCCCACTCATGGTGTTTGTAGCTTACAAAAAACAGCTGTATACAGATTCTTGGCAATATGAAATAGAGGAAAATGACTTCTGGCTTCTAATACATTTTGAAGGCAAAGAGTAATTAAGTAGCATGATGTATTTTAAGTCATTCTTTTTAAAGTTCTTGAACTAGCAACATGAGTTCAATGAAGCAACATGCTACATGATTCACTCTCACTAAACCCAGGGAAGGATCTTGCAGTGTCAAAGGTGAACAGAGGGACTACACATTAGAATCACCTGAGGAGCTTTTTAAACTCATCAAAGTCTGGATCCCATCCCCAGGCCAATTAAATCAGAACCACTGTAGATTGGGCCAGCCTCCAGAAGCCTTTGAAGGCCTTGGGTGATTCCAATGCACAAGAAAAGTTTGAAATCCACTGCCAAAAGTCTTTCACTTGTTCTGTCCCTTAATCCTACTGAAGGTGATGGGATTGTAGTAACAAGTAAAAATGAGCCTGCAAAGTAAAAGTTACACTCAGTGTATGAGCAATCCAACCTCTTTCCAGGTACCTAGAGCTGCCTTGAATATGCAAATACATGTCCTGAATGTCCATTTGTCTGTCTTCTAAACAAAAGTGACCAAATCACTTGCCACCAGGGCATTTGATGAGAGAGAACTTTCAACAACTATGCCCATGTGTCAATGTGGTTCCCCTCCTCTGCGTTCCTTCACTGTCCTTTTTGGTTCCCCTTGGTTCCTCCACACCTAGCACAGAGCCAGTTCACTGCAGGTGCTCCATGTTTACCAAATGACTGGCTAAAGTAATTATGCAAGTGAGAGTGAGCACTGAGTCACTGCAGTACAGCTGTCTGAAGAGATCATTTCTGGCATTTAATGGCAGTCTCCAAACACTGTAAGGAACATCGCAAGTTCTCTTGCTTTCACAAGATGAATGAAGGGCACAAAAACAAAGAAACGGTTTGAGCGTGTAGCTTAGCCAGAAGAACTTGCCTAAGGTGCCTGGCCCTGCGTTCAATCTCACCCACCACAAACATAGTAACTGAGAAAAAAAAAAAAAAAATTTAAATAAAGCATAATATGATTTGCTCTATGGCATTCTCCATCTTGTTTGGTTGGTTGGTTTGGGGGTTGTTGTTTTCTGAGACAGAATCTCCTATAGCCCAAGCTGGATGAGAACTTACTATGTAGCTGAGGATGACTTTGAACTCCTGATTCTACTGCCTATACCTCTTAGGGACTACAAAGGTTCACAATGACGCCCACCAATTTTCCATCATTTTATTTGTTGTTGTTTTTTTTAATTTCATGTGTACTAGTGTTTGCCTGCATACAAGTGCACTCGTGTCATACAATGCCTGTGGAGGCCAGAAGACAGCATCAGATTCCCCTTGGAACTGGAGTTACAGACCATTGTTAGCCTCCATATGGATGCTGGGAACCAAACTTGGGTCCTCTGCAAGAGCAGCCAGTGGTCTTAGCTGCTGAACCATCTCTCCAGACCCCTAAGTTTTTTAAAATTTTATTTATTTTTATTTATGTACCTGAGTATTTTGCCTATATATGTGTCTCCATCATTTTAAATAAAGTCTATTAAACTCAAATACAATGTTATCTAAAAAGTTGACGGAAGAACTTTAAATGCAAACTATTTTTTTTTTTTTTTTGGTCTTTTTGAGACAGGGTCTCCCTCTAGCCCCAGCTGTCCTGGAACTCACTATGTAGACCAGGCTGGCCCACAGAGATCCGCCTGCCTCTGCCTCCCGAGTGCTGGGACTAAAGGTGTGCGCCACTATGCCCAGCTGCAAACTACTTTCTAGTATTACAGACGAACTGATGCTATTCTTGCAGACACAATTAACTCCAGGGCTGAACTTGGTGGCGAATGCCTTTAGTCCCAGCACTCAGGAGGCAGAGGCAAGCAGATCTCAGAGATTGAGACCAGCTTGGTCTACACAGTGATTTCCAGGCCAGCTGGGGCTACAGGGAGACCCTGTCTCAAAACAAAACCAAAGACTGACTCCAGAAAGAGACAGCTGTTTACAAGTAAGTCTCTTTATCTTTACTTTTTAATGACTCTGAAATTAGAAGTTGAATGTTTTTGTTTAGTGTTCATATGAGTCATAGCACTTTGTCCACAATGGTTCACTCCACCCACCACCCTCACAGGTGCTCCCTGCCCTCTAGCTAGTCCCCCTTCTGCTTTCCTGTCAAACGGATTCCATTTTTATTTCCCACTACCCTTAGCATGCCTTCCTCCCCTGTCATGATTCTCTTTCTAGTTTTATGACCTACAAACACATATACAAGTACACACATATATCTACATATATATAATTTTAAATTTAGATTCCACATATGAGAGAAAACATGCAGTATTTTTCTGAGTTTGGTTTGTTTCCCTTAAGATAATCACTTTTAGTTGCATCTATTTTCCTACAAATGTTATGGTTTCATTTTTCTTTACAGCTACATAAAATTCCATTTAATGGAATATGTATGTACCACATTTTCTTTATCCATTCATCTACTAATGGATATCTAGGCTGGTTCCATTACTTAACTATTGTGAATAATGCAGGAAATCAACATAGATATGCAAGTGTCTCTGTGTTAAGCTGACTCAGAGTCCTTCAGACATATATGCCTTTAAGTGGTATAGTTGGATCATACAGTAGTTCTGTTTTCAGTTTTTTTAAGGAAGCTCTATGCTGATTTCCACAGTGACTGCACGTTTACATTCCCATCAGCAGTGAATAAGGGTTCCTCTTTCCCCACATCCTAGTCAGCATTTTCATTTTTTTGAGAAAAGGTCTCTCTATGTACCCCAGGCTGGCCTTGAACTGGAATCCTTCTGCTTCAACATCTAAGCACTGGTGTGTACATCACCATGACTGGCTTAAATGTCTTGAAAGAATTGCTGATCAACTGCTGATCATCACAGAAACATGTTTTTCAAACCTAATTTCAGTCTCTAAGTGCTAGGATTTTAGTGGAGGCTGTCAGAGAGAATTAAATACATCATCACAACTACACTCCTCTACACAAGATATAAATATTTCACTTTTGGAAAACTGCTTTAAAATAGCTGATTCTCAAAGCACTTACTATTTCATTCTTTTGACTATTTTGAAATTGCCTAAATAAACTAGGCTTGGTAGCACAAGCCTGTAATCCCAGCTATTCATGAGACAGACAAAGGGATTTCAAGTTCAAGGCTTGCCTGGGCTGCTGAGTAAATTCAAGACTGCCCTGGGAACTCAGTGAGACTTCGTCTCAAAGTAAAAAGTAGGATGAGTCTAGAGATCCACCTTAGTGGGAGAACGTTTGTTTGCCATGTACCAGGCCCTAGGTTGGGTTTCAGAATCACAAAAATAAATAAACAAATGAAATCAACTAGGCCAGAAATGGTAGTACACACCCTCAATCCCACACCTGGGAGGCACAGGTAAGAGGATCAGAAGTTCAAGGCCATCCTTGGATACAGCACAAGTTCTAAGCTAGCCTGGGCTACATGGCACAATTTTTTTTTTAAATCACCCAAAATTTGATCTGTCATTAAAACAAAATTTGATCTTTTGCACACATCCAAATAATCATTTGGGCAAATGTTACATTAGTAACAAAGATAGGTGAAGCTGGTAGGTAAAGCAGCACTAACACCAGCCAACATTTAAATTGGTTCTTTATACCAGGCTCATTCAGCTCAGAGCACATCATTTAATTCATACAACTATCGGGGAAGGTTACTACTGCACCACCAGCTAATTTAGTAACTTGCCCAGGGCTAAAGTAGATTTGGGAGCTGGACTCTGGATCAAGTGACTGTTGTATGACTTATAATTTGCAGAACCAACTATACTCTGAGCCCCTATACACTAGCTATGGCACTACAAACTGAGGCAAGTGTTTCAGAGAACAATGTGCCCATTGATCAGGGACCATGAACATGTTCTAATGTTCTTTTTTTGTTCTTTTTAAAACTTTCTTTTTTGAGAATTTCACACACGAGTATTTTATTTTCATTATTTCCATCCCTCCCAGTGCCCCCTCCAACTCCTTCTATGCCACCAATTCCCTCTCAATTTCTTGTCCTCTTTTTTGATTATTATTGTTACATATACATACATGTTCTTCTTACTAAAATCTAAGTACATATCACATACACTCAAACAAGACTCACCACAATTTTGCTTGGAGAAAAAGAAAAAAGAGAAGTAACTGAAATGCCTAATAGCAGAGAAACAGCAAGCGCTGAGTGTTCACTTCGGTGACTAACAGCAACAGTTACAAAGACTAATAACAGAAGAAGTTGATAACAAATAGTGACTTTTTAAAAAGCAGATACAGGAGCAGGGGATGGAGCTCAGAGGTAATGATCATTTAGCATACACAAAGCCAGCGTTACAAAATAAGCATAAAATAGCCAGGCGTGGTGGCGCACGCCTTTAATCCCAGCACTTGGGAGGCAGAGGCAGGTGGATCTCTGTGAATTCAAGGCCAGCCTGGTCTACATAGTGAGTTCCAGGACAGCTGGGGCCATATGGAGACCCTGTCTCAAAAATACCAAAAATAAATAATAAATAAATAAGCATAAAATAAATTAAAAGAGGATATGAAACTATGCGTGCTCTTAGGATTTACAATTATGCAGAAGAAAGATAAAGGCTGAAAAATACTTCTAAATGCTGACTTCACTGTACTGAATACTTCCCCACTACCTGTTATTAACATGTTTTTAAATTAAACATTATTTTTATAGGAAAAATAAGGGGTGTATATATTTAAAACATATCAAAACTACACATGTAAATACATTCCGAATATTCAAATACAGGACCACTTCCACAAATGATTTTGTCAAAGTCTAGCTAACAGAAAACAAAGGATAGACAGTTTGCTCAGTCCTACAAAATAGGTTTCCTATTTGAATAAACCACTATTTCATTAAGTAAGACACTCTTTTGATCACTGAACTAATTAAATTGCTATACAAAGGATCCCTCTTCCCATCCTAGGAAGTCTCGGCTTAGCTACCAAAACTGGCATCTTAGGTCTCCATAAGTGTTTAGAATTGTGCAACAATCAAGCCACTTGACCTTCATGCTTCCCTTTCCTCATAAAAAAAGGGAATAAAAGCAATTTAAATTACTTAGAATAAATGGGTAAAATAAGTCAATACTGTGTGAAAAGCACGAAAGGAAGTGTAACTCCCCACAAGCCTCGTAAATTTTAACAGAAGTGAAAGACGCAAGATACCCTAACAGCATTTGGAACCGCAAGGTCTCACTCTTAAATGAGATGTAAATTTTTTCTCCTTCAGTCTCCTCCCTATTACACAAACTTCTACACCCTCCACAAATTGGGCATTGACCCACAAGATCTTGATTACTCCGTTCGCATGAAAATTATAAACATTTACATTAGCTAACATCTATTTGTATGACACATTTTAATGTCCTTGTGCTTTTTATACATTTAGCAATGTAAAAACCTTGCAAAACATTTTTTTCTAAATAGCTTTTCGTTCTTTTCATGAAAGTCCAACCCCTAATTCCTACCCAACAGCTCACAGTAAAAGCTGGACCAAGCTGAAGTTCATTCTGGGTGCCAGTACAGGCTTGGCGCCAGTTTTAAAGCGCTCGTTTCTAAATCTCTAATAAAATCCTTAATGATACAGGATGGTCTCCAAATGCTTCTATTTGCCATAAAAAATAATATCGAGGTTTGGGTTTTTGTTTTTTGTTGGGTTTTTTTGTTGTTGTTGTTTTTTCCTGGGTTTTGTTCACCCTTCCAACACCATCAGATCGGGTGTGTTGAAAGAACTGGAGGGCAAGGGTCACAAGATCGGAAGGAACAGAAAGTGAAACGCAGTGAGGTCACACCCCTTGCCTCCTGGGGGAACAGGGGGGACACCGAGACACGTCTGTAAGGTAGAGACTGCGGGCCCCTCCCTGCAGCAGAGAAGAGGCCCAGGAGCCAGGCTAGGGCGGGCCTGGGAGGCGGAGCGCCAGCCCGCGAGCACGCCCCAAGCTGCGGCGCCCCGGGCACGCAAGGCGGCGCGGTCTCACCCGCTCCGGGGCGCTCCAGGGTCGCGGCGGCCGGGTGCGGAGGCCTGGGCCTGGGAGCCGGCCGGAGGCGGAGGCCGGAGCGAAGCCGGGTGGCTACGATGAGAGCCGTGGCGGCCAGGCCTGCGGAGGCGAGGAGCCCCGCAAACCGCAGCATCCTGGGCTGCGGCGCGATCCTGCAGCACCGGAAAGAGCCGGAAGGGGCCGACCTCGTTCGGCCGGGTATCCGGATTCCGGCGGCGTTCGGGAGGGCGGGGCAGGGGGCCAGGCGGGCTTGCTGGGCCCGACCTTTGGCAGCCCGCAGTTATTTCCTGTGGCTCGGCCTTTCCCGTCCCACGCTTCGAGGGGCGAGATTGGGACAAGCTGAGCGCATTCCTTGGCCTGGTGTCTCCTGAGAACCCGTCTGTTTGCTTTCACCACGAGCTTCGAAAACAGTTCTGATTGCAAAATATGTGGGAAGAGCGAAATGTGCAAGAACGAGATCTTGTACATCAGTATAATGCGATGCTTTACTTTTTTTTAAGCCCAACGGGGACGGAGTCTTAAATTTTTAACAGCGATTTAACATCAGAAATTTAATGGAAACCAGCTACTGATTTTTGCAGAATAAAATTCTGATATAAGTAAAATAGGACATGAAGCAATAAAAATAGGTGGGCGTGGTGGCGCAATGCCTTTAATCCCAGCACTGGGGAGGCAGAGGCAGTCGGATCTCTGTGAGTTCAAGGCCAGCCTGGTCTACATAGTTCCAGGACAGCTGGGGCTACAGGGAAACTCTGTCTCAAAAAGACCAAAAAAATAGAAATAAATAAAAACTAATAAAATATGAACACTTTTTGCCTTAGAGAATGCTACTGGATTTTCTAGTTTGGGGTTTTAGTGCATGGAAACTAGGGAACAAAATTGAGTGTACTGCCAGCAACAAATTGATCTAGCCCTCTTTGGGAATAAGACTTCATTTATCCAGAGTACAGCCTAGGATGCGAATGGAAACGGAGAAGACCCTGACATAACCAGTTATTGACAGGTGTTATTTTGGTAGTGCAGCCTGCTGTGAGCTTGAAGATCCAGGCCAGCTTGAGCTATATAATGAGACTCTGCCTTAAAAACAAAAGTTAAAAGTTCGCATGCCTATCATATGCTGGAACTGTCAAAGCCAGTTGCTGTGACTTCTGAATGTCTGTTTTCCCTGTAGAGCTCCCTACCTGGCTTTTAATGTCTGAGCCCCTTTTAGTCATTTTGCAAGTAAGACAGGTTTTTAAGGAGCAGATGATCTAATCACAGAGAAAGAACCATAAATAAGTGAAATAGACCCTTCAAGAAAGTGTTGCATGTTAGCATGAGAGGGGATCAGAATAGGCCAGACCTGGTGTGGTAGCATGTGCCTGTAAACTCAGCACTCAGGGAGACTGAGGCAGGAAGAGCCAGCCTAGACTACTACTGCTATGAGGGATTCAAGGCCAGCTTATAGGGGAAGGAAAATGCCACCCCAAAATATTCCATTTTGGCATAAGGATTATTTTTAACTGAAAGCAATTAAGAAAGTACAGACAGGGGAATAACTCTTCCCCTTCCCCTTTCTGCCTGTAAGTAGAACATAAATTTCTGTTTGTAAGGAAGATATAGATAGATGATGATAGATGATTGATAGATAGATAGATAGATAGATAGATAGATAGATAGATAGATAGATAGATGATAGATGATA